TAACTAAAATGGATAATTTGTTAGATGCTTTAGGATGCTTAGATTATGCTATTTAGAAAAATCCTGAGGATTTTCAAGGTTATGCAATTAAAGGTATATATAATATATGAGTTTAAAAAGCAAATATATTAAACCAAATTAATAAATTTTAGGAAGCTTTAGAATATTATAATTACGCAATTGAAAGAAGTTCCAATAATTCAAAATTAAATTATCATAAAGGTTTATATAATTATTAAAAATCAGCAATAACTTTAGGTAGTATGAATTAGTTTTAAGAAGCCTTAAAATTTATAGAAAAAGCCATTTAATTGAATCCTGAATTATCTATTTATTCTACTACTAAAGGTTTAAATTTGCTTTAATTTATATAGAATATTTGTTAGAAAAATAAAATAATTTTGCATAAGCAAATATTTAATTAGAATAATAGCATTAAGTTGAAGCTTAATCTATTAATTACAACATCAATAATTTAATAAGTTAAGATACAATTTAAATTTCAGAACATAATCTGAATCCATTTATTAACAAGTCTGCTTTTTATTCAATATAAAATATTGATGATAATGAGGAGCAAGAAAATTGATTATTTATTAAATTAAAATTTATAATAGTTCTTAATTTTATTTTATTTTTTGAAATTAAGCTTGATGATTATGAGTATAGTTAATCTAACTATCCTACAACTATTAAGGTTGGCTTCAATTATAAGTTTAATTATATCTGAATAAATAATTGTCGCAATGATTTATGAATGATAAATAAAACTTAAAATATAATTTTTTTTGTTAGAGTTCAAAATGATTTCAAGAACAATTGAATAAATATTCATAAAATTTTTAATTGAAATGTATCATTTATTTCATTAGAACTTTGATTCATTCTAGAATATCTTTCTTTTTCTTCAATTTTTCCTTGAATAATATGAGACTAATACATATTTGAATCTTAATGCTAGTTTAAAATAGTAATTAGCTTCTCTAAAGTCATTGAGCAGATATAGGGTAATTCCTAAAAATAGAAGTAAACTAACTACCTTTGTCATAATAATATATTGAAGTTCGATGGTTAATGCTAATACAAATATCTATATTTGCTATTGCCTCAAGGTAGAGCTTTTTTTTTTATAAGGTCATTGCTAAATATATTAAATTTCTATTACCTTTTTCATGGTAATATTCAACTTTAGGTTTCAATTATAGAGCTTTATCTAAATATTCTAGGGCAATATCTAATTAATCCAAATTTTTTAGGACAATCCCTAATTAATTAAATTACAAATACCTTTCAAAAAGAAGAGCATGTCAATCTAATTGCATTAAATGATTGCTAAATCTATAAGATAAAGGGCTTCTTGATAACGATTTAATTAAATTAATAATCTCACTTAGAAATAATAGTCAGTAGTTACGCTTATCAAAATAACATTCTTAATTATTTGGTTCTAATTTTATGCCCTCCTCGTAGCACAATAAAGCTAATTCACATTATGAAATTTTAAGTAAAGCATGACCTAAAAATTAAAAGTTTTTGTTGCAACCTTTAGATTAAAAAAGTTGAGCCTTTTTTGGATTCAATTAAATTGCTAAATCAAATTATTATATAGCATCGGTAAACAAATTTAAATCCATAAGCAAATAGGCTATAAATTAATTGAGAATTCTCAACCTTTGTGTTAATAAAAGTAATCAATATCAGACCTTAGTGTTATAGCTTAGTTATAAGATTCAAAAGCTTCCTCAAAACGGAATAATTAAATCAAAGTTTTTGCTGATATTTGATGATTTTAATTACCTTTTTAAAAATGAAGGTCAGGATTATCTGGTTTAATTCTAATTTATAATTCTTAATATTTTAAAGCCTCTTAATAAAGTTGAATTTCTGATAATATGATTGCTATTTTTATTTCTTATTTGACCTTTTTTAGAATAATATTCATCATCTCTTAAATTTTTATCAAATGCAATTTCATCATATTTTATAGCATCATTGTATAACTTTAAATCAAATAAAGTATTTGCTTTTTAAAATTTAATTTTACCTTTTTCTGAATAATACTGAGCTTCATCTGGATCTCTTTAAATAGCATATTCATAGTAAATTAGGGCTTCTTAATGCTAACCTAAAACCCTCAATAAATTTGCTAGAAGTATTCAATTAAAAAACCTTTATTAAAATAGACTTCAGCAATTTCAGGGTTTAAATTAATTGCTTTGTCATAAAGATTAAGGGAATCTTCATTACGACCCAATTTACTTAAAGTAATTGCTTAAAATATTAGTAATTTAACCCTTATTGTTGTAGAATTCCCATTTTTCAGAATTTATTGATAAAGCCTAATCGAATAATTCAAGAGCTTCTTCATACAAGAATAAATCAACTAGAATTTAGCCTTTTATATATTTAAATGTATTACCTTTAGTTGAGAAATAAATGGATTTCTCAGGGTTTTTATTAATTGCAATATCACATTATTCTAAGGCTAGATCATAACGTTTTTCTAATTTGAGTGCGATTGCTTAATTATTATTTTAAAAAAACCTAATTTATGATAATATTAAGAATTTTCAGGATCAATATCAATAGCACATTGTAAGTTTTTAATTGCATCATCAATCCTTTCCATTTCCCACAATGTATTTGCTAATTTTTATTTTTTGTACCTAGATTTTCATATAGATCTGGGTTATTAGGATTCATTTTTAATGCATACTAATGACATTTGAGTGCATCTTCATATCGAAATTACTTTGCTAGTATAGTTGCTTGAAAAATTAAACTACACAAACCTTTATCATTATAGCACTCATAATTTTAAGGAGCTTTTTATATTGCTTCTTCAATTGATTATAAAGCATCTTCATAACGATTTAGCAACCTTAACACCAATGCTGAATTAATTATTATAATCTACCCTTGCTTAAATTGTACTCAGCATTTTCAGGATTATTTGAAAGTGCACAAGAATAATATTCTAAAGCCTCTTCATATCTGTTAAGGTTAAGTAATGTTAAGGCTAATAATATTGCTTATATTTATACCTTTATTACTGTAACAATAGGCATCATGAGGATTTAGTTAAATTACCTTATCATATAATGAGAGACATTCTTCTAAATTTCCCATTTCTTATAATGTAATTGCTAATAATTTTAATAATTAATTTACCTTTTGAATTATAAAATCGAATATCGGTCGGATTATATTAGATTGCTAATTCATAGGCTTCAAGGGCCTCATAAAAACGATTTAATTCATAAAGAGTGACACCTAAAATTACATTTAAAATACCTTTTTCATAATAATATTCAGATTCTTGTGAATTTTTTGATATAGCTAGATTAAAACACTCTAATGCATTTTCAAAACGCTTTAATTTATTAAAAGCGAGTGCTAATATCAATTTAATAAAACCACCTTTGTTAAAATAAGAATCTGAGAAATCTGGATCTAAATATATTGCTTTATCATAATATTTGAGAGCTTCTATAAAATGATTTAATTCTGACAATTCATTTGCCACCTCATGATAATTTTGGGGTTCATCAGGGTTCAAATTCAAGGCAATTTTGTAATTTTGTAATGCTTCTTCTTTATGGTGAATTTGGCTTAAAGCATAGGCTATAGAGTAATAAAAGAAAAAAAAAGTACCTTTGTTGCTATAATACTTATCATTTTCAGAATTTATCGAGATAGCGTTATCATACTACTCAATTGCTTCTTGAAATCTACCCAACTAACTGAGTGTATGACCTAAATTTTTGAAGTCTTTATTACATACCTTTATTATAGTAAAGATCTGCAAATTCAGGATTATTTTAAATAGCTAAATCATAACACTTAATGGCATCTGAATATAAATTTAGATCACACAAAATATTTCCTATCATTTTGAATATCAATACCCTTTGTAGAATAATAAATGGAGTTGGAGGAATCTTATTGAATTGCAACATCACAACTTGAAAGTGCGTCGATTGTATTTTTTAATTTGTGTAATAGTAATGCTATCAGATCTTTATTAATCTTACATTTGTTGTGATGACATACAGGATTTTAAAATTTCTTCTAAATTGCTAAATTATAATTTTCAAGAGCCTCATCATACCTTTCCAATTCATCTAAAATATTTGCTTGCTTTCTAAGTTATTAGATTTACCTTTGTTTAAATAAAAATCTTCACAATCTGGAACTTTTTATATTGCTAATTCTAATACTTCCAAAGCCTCCTCAAATAATCTCATCTCAACTAATGTAATAGCTACTTATAGAATTTATATCACCTTTATTATTATAGGTTTTAGGGTTGACAGGATTTAAAGAAATTGCCTCATCTAATAATTGAATAGCTTCATCATATTTATTAAGAGTGCATAGAAGGTTACCTTGAAATAAAATCTCTTGGTACTTTTATTTAAGTAGTAAATGTCGCATTTATGATTTTTTTCAATAGCATAATCATAGTTTTCCAAAGCTTCCTCATATCTTTATAATTATGTTAATAAATTAGCTATATATTAACAAATCTAACCTTTTAAATAGTAAGAATCAGATAATGAAGAATTTAGTTTAATAGAATTATCAATATCATCCAAGGCTTCTTCATTTCGATTCAATTTAATTAATATTTAAGCTAATCAGAGAAATAATTTTCTTACTTCTATAATAAAATGATTTATAATTTGAACAATTTTTGAGAATTGCTTAATCAACCAATAATAAAGCATCGTTATAGTACTCTAATTGCAATAAAATAATTCCTGAATTATAAGAAAGATTATCACCTTTTTTTAAATATAAATGTTCGTTCTCTGGCTCTAATTTTAGGGCATAATCATATTACTCCAGTGCTTCTACATATCTTTTGAGATTTCTTAAGGATTTTGCTTTAATTAATGAATTTCTAACCTCTTTTTGAATAAAATAAAGCTTATTAGTTTAATTAAATTGCTCTATTGTAAATTATAATTGCTTATTCATTCAAATTGGTTTTTCTTAACTCATTTCCTTTTTATAAACATTAGGAATTTACCAATTCTGAAATAATCTTCACTTTATTTTTTCTGAAGTATTTTTGAATCATTTTCATGTAGTTAAAACGAACTTAATTGCTGTTGTTGCCTACATTTCATCTTTGCAAGAATCAATTTGTATAATAAACTCAAATATATTGAAACTAACTATATAACTCAATTTACGTGAATATTTTTGTGATTTCAACAAATTAATAAGGTTTCTAATTGATAACTTTTTTGAATAAATTTTATTTCTAATTATCAATTATTTGAGTAAATGTTGATTTCTTTTAGTATAAATAATTTAAATGAGTATCTTTTTAGATATAGATTATTTTTATTCAATTTAATTAAGTAGAGCTTCACAATTTCTTTATGCTTGCCTTTATGTTTTCAAATTGAAAAAGTTCTAAACTTTAAGATGGAGTGTTGTTTTCTTATAACTTTTAAATTATTCTCCCAAAAATTTGGAAAATGTGATGTTTTTGATAAGTAATCGCAAAAGTTTCATTTGAATTAATTACTCTTTTGAAAATATCATTAATGAATTAAAATTATATTATTATTTATTATTTAAAATCATAATATCAGGAGAGTCTTTAAGTATGAATTTAATTTGAAACAAATTTATTGATGACTCTATATATTAATTAACAGTGTAAGCAACCTTTTGATGTTAATGTATTTTTTTTATTGTTTTATATGTACTATTTCAATATATTAGTGTTATTTAAGACATAAATATATTTTTTGGGACATAAACGGGTTGGTTTTGGTTCGAAGTAATTTTATAATCAATTAAAAATGTGACTAATAAAAATTATTGGTTAATAAAATGTTATTTATAGTTTCTTTATCTCTCTATCTCATTTTCTAGATTAATTTTCTCAGCATTTAAATACTAATTGTAAATATTAATAGATAAGTTATAGCTCGGTTTTTTGATGAATCATTTAAATTGGTGTAATAATGAATTACAGAAATAATTTAATTTTTAAATTAGATGCTACTTATCATAAATCAGCATAATTGGCAATTATACTTCAGATTGTTAATTAAATAAATTACTATATCTGCATTTGTTTAATTGTATTGAAAGCTTTGGAGTCGGTCAAACACAAATTTGCTTAAGTCTAAAAATATTGTGAATTTAGCTTCATAATCTTATGAAAATCCATCGATTTGAATATATTTTCATCCAAAAAGTAAACTTTATAATTCATTTTTTGGCTACTTATTACTAGGCTTTTTCAAATAAAAGACCATACAACACCTTACCAAGAAATTTTGGTTTGGACAGAAATTGACCTTTACCAACCTAGTTCATCCGCTTTCTTTTGGAAAACCCATTTCTACATTTTTTTAAAATGTCATTTCAGGTATAAACTTTCTAGAGTATATACCCATTACCCAACTTAATTTTTAGTTTGGCGTATTACATTAACGGATATATCTATCAATTATAAAAAATACAATCATTCCTATAATCTTATATATTTATTTTTAAAATTGTAAATGACGATTTTTCTGGATGAGGAAAATGTAGAGAGATTATATTAAAATTAAACAGAATTTTTTTTAATTTAACAAAATTTAAAGTGAATGCAACGAATACAATAATATGTCTAGAGACCTGTATTATAAGACTCTTTCGGTTATCCTTCAAATAGACCCCAGATAAAGAGAATTCATATGCATAATTACAAAACGAAAACCAATAGAAGCTTACCCTCAATATCAATCTACTTAGACACTTCAAAAAACAGATATGCGTCTCAATTCTTCGAAACCTAGACAACCTTCTATTTAAGTTATTCCAAGACCATCTTCAGCATCTAATGATAAGAGAGCTTTTTCTAATTAGAATAACCATCAAGATGTTCATTTAAAGAATTAAAGAACACTACATATATATCAACCATAATAAGCTACATCTTAATTAAGATTTTATTCATTCCAGCTAATAGTCTCGTCAAATCTTAATCTAATTAACAGTTGGCAAACAAATAAATTGATTAATCAAAATATAAAAAAATTACATGAAAAATTGTTATTTTTAGAAAACAAGATTAACAATATGTAGAAAATATTTTCAGTTCAGGTGATATTTAAAAATAACTACCTTAAGAAACAACTAAACTTATGGGAGTTGATAAATTTTGGAGAGATACTATAATGAAAAAATTTTAAAGGCCTTTAGTTTAAGATAGTTGTTATTCTGAAGAACTATTAAAGAAATTGTAGATTTATAATAAAGTTTTGTACATTTAAGAAAGGTTTTAATACAATCAAATAAATTTTTGAATAAATAAAAGATTCAATTAAAATGTCTTTTGTAACATAAACAGTATTAAATTCCTTGATATAAAAGACTCAACTGAGATAATAGAGCAGAGCAAGAGATTATGCCTGAATTAGTTCCATTTTCAAAAATAGTTATGACTTAATTTCCAGTAGAATATTAGTTATTAAAATATATGATTAAATCATTATATGATATTACTAAAAATGTTTATTTTTCATATCCATAAAAAGAATTAGAGAAAGATGAATGGTTATTTGAATATCAAGCTAACCAGTATTGACTGTAGATTGATTAAGAGAAAAATATACAACAGTTATAGAGAAAATAAATATTGGCAATAAAGACATAATTATCATAATATTATGATTTTATGGTTAAGTCCACAAATAAGAAAATTGAATACTTTGATGGTATTAATATTTATATTTAATAATAAATAATAAATCATAATATAATAAACTTTAATACTACTCTAAAAAAATACTTACAACGTGATTTATTTGTTAGTTTATTTTTTTTTGTTGAAGATGATGGCTAAAGAAACATTTAGAAAATGCATCAGCCATTGATTTAGTTACTATGTATGGAGAATATGGCAATATCTGAATTGCATCTATATATGTTATATTAGCCTGTAACAACAATGGTATCAATAGGATATGGTGATGTTATTCCAATGAATTTCTGAGAAGTTTTTGTGACCATCATTATATAATTTATCTCTTGTATTGTTTTTACCTATTCAATTAATAGTTATGGTAAGTAATTTATTTAAAAAATAAAAACAAATAAAAATTTCAATATATAACAATTAATTTCATTATAGAAAATATTTTAATGCTATCTAAAGAGTTATCGTAGAATATAATGTTGATGTAAAACTAAATGCACGTATTGAAGCCTATCTATTTCATTTATGGTAGATTCAAAAGGTCAGAGGTCAGGAATTAGAATAAGCCATGATTCTAAAATTGAAATCTGTTATGTCAAGAATGGAAATATTAAACATTAGGTAAAATGCTTAAACAGAATAATTTCTTCTCCTGTTTCTCATAAGATTTGCTTATGAAATTTGCATAAGAAAATTTAGTCACAATATAATTCCTAAGAAGCAAACTATATTAACATTCTTTTGCATGACTTATTTAAGGAAGAAAGATTGTCATAATAATTAGAGTGTCTGACTGGTATAAGTGCATAGAAGGTTCCATAATCAGTATCTTAAATTATGACACTAATTGCTAAAAGTTAAAGTCATAAAACCTCTGAAGAAATAAGCTTTTAACCTCTTATGCCTAAAATATTAACCATTTAAATAATTGACCATTCCCTTTTAAAACTAAAAGATAATCTTATGGTATATCAATTTTAATCAACTATATAAATTACAGATATCCAGAAATGGAATCATTTATATAAACATAATAATTTTACTATACTATCAATTATTCATATTTTAATGAGAATCTTGTTACTCATATTTTGTAATAGTTTGCTACTGTATAAAATTAAGAACTTGACAAAAAAGTATGAATAAGTACATAAATTAAGCCTACCTATTAAAAAGAATATAAAATTACCTACAAAGAAATACAACCTTTTAATAATGTTTGACTCTTAAAAATTTAAGTTAATAATTCCTTTATGGTATTTAAATTATTATGATTTGGAACTCTTATTCTGGCATGACACCATTATAAATTAATTACTTATTTTTCTTCTCTAATTTAATAAATCTTTCGTTTTTTAGATTCCTTTTTATTATATTATTTCCTTAATCTTCTTAATTAATGAAATTTATGGTTAAATTTCCATTGAGTAAACTATCTTCAATATTTCGACCAGTATTACTCATATTAAAACATTGATAAATTCAAAACTTCGACTGCCTTTCCATTTTCTTAGAGATTACAAAGAATTTCTATCATATAAATTCTTTCTTAAGTAACCATCCTCCAAAAAATTTATTATAGTTTAAGTTATTGGATTCTCTCTTTTCCATTTATCAACTAACATCTTTATTCATTACCTACATTAATGTAATCAGCATTTATATATATGATTCTTTTTAATTTTCTTCTTCATCACATTTAAATTTGACTATTGAATGTTTTATTATGATAATTTATTATTACACAAAGAATGATGTTATTATATCTGTTTAACTTAAGAATATCTCGATGAAAATCTTAAAGGTTATCATTATAATATAATGATTTCATTTCTTAACCTATTTCTCTACCCTCTACCTATAAATTTTGTAGCATTATATATTTATTTATATTGTATCAACTTTCAATTCATGACTTATACTTTATAATATATAAATTGAACTCAAATATACTCAACACTTCTTGTTTATATAATTATTTAATGCTATTCAAATTTATTTATTGTTTTTTATATAATATTAGAAAATATTAAAATATTCAATAAATTTTGTAAAATTTATATTATTAATTTATAAATTAGCATGATTTTAATTCTAATCTTATAAAATTGAAATAAACAAATCAAATTATATCCTAAATCTATTAAACTTGTTCCTTAATATAAACAATATATATAAAATATCGATATTTAAAGATATCCTTAATTTTGGATATAATTAAAAATTGATCCTACATCTGTGTTACTTGGTGAAGTATTGATATAAAAAATATTCAAAAATAGATCAAATTTTGATATCATTATAGATTATATTTTCATAAGATAATATTAATTTAAACTTAGATTGACTTACTCAATTCAATTTGTTCAATTCTGATTAATAATTATCATAGAATTCTTTTGTAATTTTGTCTATCTTTTTTTATAATGAATTCCATAATCTTTGCCATATTTATTATGATATAGTGAAAAAATTAAAATCTGAAACTTTGAAAGTAACTATCATGATTTTCTAATCAATTCGAATGGAAGATTATTCCTTTCTAATAGTATTTGAATCAAAGTATTTTTAAATGAATGTCGACAATAGGTTTATATTCCATCACTAAAAATACATTAAAAAATTTGAATGAACAACTCACATAAAGATTCAATATACAAGAATATTTGCTAAATATAAGGCAATTACATATACTCAATCTACATATTTTTTGAAACAAATTATTGTTATTTGATATTGCAAATATATTTAACTCAAATTTATAAATGAGATATTATTATGGTAAAACTTAATTATTTGTATCTCTTAGTTAACTTTCTTAGTTTATTATTATGGAAAATAGATTTATACAAAAAAGACTTTTCTTTTTTAGTTTTTCTTATTATAATTCTTTGATATCGAAAATAGAACTATTAGAATTATAGGATTAAGATAGTAGTATTTTCTAAAGGAGAATTGATACATTTTAAATTCATGATTTCAAGAGACAGAAATTTAAGATTAACAGCCTATTTAATAGAATTCTTAAATTTAGAAGAAAAATAAGGACTAAAATTATAGTTGTAATACTAGATTGCTTACAAATAGCAGATACTTAAAAATACAAAATTAATGAAAAAATTATTAATATAAATTGGATGTAGTTATCATAAATTTGGCTAATTTTAAGAAAGAAGATGAAGAGATTAGTATTAATAACAATTTTATATACGCCAGATATAATTTCGTCTTGTTATAATTTTAATCTTTAAAAGATATTATTTTTTATTAGTTTATTTATAGCATAATATTTACTTTTAAAGGAGTTGAATAATTTTCTTGAGAGGTTAATAAAAAAATATAATTTCAAAAGCATCATATTTTAAATTTGTTGAATTAGATGAAGCTAAATTAGAAATTAAAAAATTTGTCGACTTTCTAAAGAAATCAAAAAAAATATAAAGAAATGGGAAGTAAATTACCAAGAGAAGCCTTATTGGCTGGACCACCAGAAACTGGTAAATCAATGGCTGCAAAGGCTTGTGTGAAGGAGAGATACTAAATTTGGTGAAAATAAATAAATGCTACATTGAATTAATTATTAGTTGAGATGGATGAATTTGGAACAGATACTAAATAATAGTATTGGCAGCTTACCTATGTGCTCGTCAACATCAACTTCAATATATTCACTCTGCTTGAAATATGACATTCTTATTCTTATTTTTTAATTCTTTAACTTTATCCTCCAATTTAATCTTGAATTCAGTTAAAATTTTATTGCATTTCCCAATAAATTGATTATTAGGATTTATCTTCAATATTTTGATTATGATAATTATCTTACTTTATGAAATGATAAAATGTGTAAGCACTTTAAAAGGAATATTGAAATTTATATACATCCTTTTATTAAGAAATATATTTTCAAGTGTAAAATACTGGCCTCACATTAAGATTGGGCCGTAAGGTGCTACAAGTAAAACCATAGGGATTGTATATAACAAAAACTCAGTGATCCATACACGGATGCAGAGCAAGCAAGGCTAGATCAATGTTAAATTTATGAGGTTTTATATAATTTTTAATCCCTAATGAGTGGGGAATATACTAGGGAAAAAAAACAAGGGGGAGCCAGTAGAGATTTTGATATTGTGGTTTCTTCTTAACCTTAAGAGATGCGATGTTGATATTTTTATGAATGAACTGAGAATTATACCCTATATAAATTGGTATTTGATATTAATATAATTATTTTCTCAGTATTTTGATATCAACCTAAGATTTTAATAAAAAGTATAAAAATTTGTAAGGGGGGAGTATAGAAAAATTTTATAAATTTTAGATTTCCCTTTTATAAAATAATTCTATGAATTTGTAAAAAGACAAAGGGAAATTCTAAAAATATATTTTATGTCTTAGAAATAATATTTTTTTACAAACAAAGTGAAAGGTATAAAAATTAAAGGGGATATTTCGAAAACATAAGGATAGTAAAAAAAAACTAAGGGAATATTTTAAAAACATAGGGAAAAAAGGGTTGGGTTTGGGTTTGGGTTTGGGTTTGGGGTTGGGGGTTGGGGTTGGGGTTGG